ATTCACCGTCGCCCAAAAGACACCCCAAAACTACCCGGGATACCGGGAGGGGTGGGACACCCTGGCAAACCAGATTCCCCCCCGGCAAATACGCCCCGCCAAGAAAACCCCAACGGAATGGGATGGACCCCCCCCCCCCCCCCCGTCCTTTCCCCCACCCAGGAACTAGCGCGCCTGTGGGGGAAAAAATCCAAAAGGAAAAAAGGGAAGGGCAAAAGGGGGGTGGGGGGAGGAGGAGGAAAAGGAAAAAGGGGAGGATGGGGGGGATGGGTAGGGGAGGGGAGATTGGGGGGTAATTAGGTTCGGTCTGAGGAAGAAGACCGATAGGTCTAATTTCCCCGCCCCCAAGAGCCCTTCACCACGCCAAGGAGCCCCCCTTTAAGAGGAGTGGCTCTAGTGGTCTGTGGCATTAAAAACGGAGGGAAGTAAAACCCGTAAGGACTGGGTACCTGAATCTTTATGGAGTGGATTCCCCTTGAAAAAAATGAAACCCCTCCTTCCTCTTCCCCCCTTTCCGTCTTCCTACATCACCATGTCTTCAAAAAAGGTAAGTGTGATGTTTTAACTGTTTTATTTTTCTTCACCTGTTTACTGTGTAGGGAAATGTTATTTCTGTAAAAAAAAGATTTTGTTTAAAATTTTGGGGGCCTGAAACGGATTAATTGGTTTTTATTTTTTTATGGGGGAAAAATTTAAATTTGGATCATGTAATACGTTAAGGACAAAACTCTTGGAAAGGATTAAAAATCGTTAACTGAGGGTCCACTGTAGTGTGTTCTGAACCAAAACCCAACAACCCGATTGGTTTACTAAGTCCTGAGGTTTCAAAAACTTTCCAGCACCTTTGGGGTCACTTTTGATTTTTAAGCATTCAAAAACCAAAAAACTGACCTCTTTTTTAAACCTCATCCTTTTTTGCTTCACTAGGGGTTAACCCTGCTGAAATTTAAAAGGAGAGAGATGGTTTTCCCAAAAGTACTACAGCAACCCCCAAATTTTTTGTGTATTACTCAGACCATGAGACCTTTTTCTATGGTTAGGGCTACCAGGGCCCTTTCTGCCAATTTGGGGGTCAGAATTTGTGTAAATTACTTGGCAATGATCGTGCCAAATAACAATTTTGTTAATCTATGGAAATTTTTTTGTAGACGTTTGGGCAGTTAAAAAACCTGTTAAAATGTAAATAAATGAAAACAATCTCACGGGCACTTTTTAGGTCAAACAAAAGTCACCCCAAAAACTGTGAAAAATTAGATTTTAAAGTACACAAATTCAACTCACCGAAATTTACAGATGGAAAAACAGAGTCAAACCTGGATAAAATTTTCCATTGTCTGTAAAAATTAAAATTTTCTATTAGCATACAAATGTCCCAAACACTGGAAAGCATATAACCTCAGTTGGTTGTGCATGTTTTAAAAATTCATGAAATTTTTATGAAAATTTTTTATTTATCATTTAAAAAAAATTTTAATAGAAAAAGACACAAATGGATTTAAGATCCCGGAAGTCCTGTTAAATGAGCCAGAGTGGAGTAAGGGAAATTTTTTTTGAAGATGTTCTGTTTGGGGTGCAAGCAAGATACAGTACTATTTATTAAAATTCAAGAAAAAAATTATTTAGAGGTTATTGGAGGTGGAAAAAACAGTACCTGCACTAAAGTAAGAAAGGGGCATTGCAGGCCCAGGTTCAACCTAGGCAAATTCAATCGCATCCATAGAAACTTTTAAAAGGTTTTTAAAGCTGTCCAAAAGTTTCACTTCCCAAAGAATAGTTGGAATGGGGGGAATTTTGCAGTTCCAGGGTTATTTGATCTGGTATTCTGCACTTCTGGCAACCCCCCCCCCCCCCCCCCACACAAAACTCATTTTTTTTTTTTTCTGATTATCCACAAATTATCTTAAAATTTAATTAAAAAATCAATTTTATAAGCAAAAAGGGGTAAAAAGAAAAAACTAAGCCTTGTAAAGGACAACTTGATAAAGCCTCTATGGATCCACTGGGCAAACAGGATTGTAGTTGCCAAAACTGAAATGCAAAAAAAACTTTGTATTCAAAACGTTTTGTCTGCACAAAGGGTTTTTCAATCAACCGGTTTTAAATTTTTTGAAATCTGTTTGTGGAAGTTGTTCAATCCACCCATCTTCGGTGTAGAGTTGGTGGCCGGTCACCAAATACCTTGATCAAATCACATAACCCCCAGGTTAGAAATTTCTTTCTTGTCGAGTTTGCGTTGACAAAATGTTTTAAATGTGAATTTGGATTTAGCTTAAAATTCGCAAGAAGGGTTTCTAGTCACTGAGGTTTCCCAATGCCCCGATGTAATGGGTTTTTTTTGGAACATAGATACAACAAAGAATAAAAAGGCACAAATACTGTGACCAGAACAGTTGCAAAAAAACCTGCACATAAAGAGTGAGGACATGGCCCGTTTTTTCCGAAATTGGACCATTGCAAATAAATAAAAGAAAAAAAGTGAGGAGCCAGTAACACGTATATAGGCGAGCAAGCAAGGGACAGGAACATGAGAAAAAAGGGTGTAGTGGTAGGAGGTAGTTTAGTAGAAGAAACAGTGGGAGGTGAAAGTAGGGGTAGAGTTAAAAAGCAAACAGAGAAGAAAAGGGGGGAGTGAAGAGGAATGAGGCCTACTGGGTTTTCAGTAACTTTTTTCTTGTCCTTTTGACGACCCCCTTTCTACCTAAGTCTTCTCAACCCCCCCCCCCCCTTCCTCTATTATACTACATTTTGCTTTTCCTCCCTCCCTTCCCTTTTCCCCCCTCTTTTGCCACTAAATCTCCCAAATTTCTACCACCACTATATACCTACCAATCATATTTCCCCTTTCCCCCTTGTTCCCTCCCTTTTTCCACTCACCCAAAAAAAACCCGGGTTCCCATTCTTTTTTGTTAGTGTGCTTTGTAAAAGACAAATCGGACTGAACGAGCTGAAAAATCCCCCTTTTCCTTGGCAGGGTTTAAATTTTGTATGTACACGACTTTTATAAAGAGAGACTTTTTATGTACCGGCTAGGGTTTTCTTTTTTCAAAGGTAGCTTTTTTTTAATTTTTTTTAATCATTTTGCCTGGTTAGTACTTTACAACAATGAGATCTAAACCTCACAGAAAAAAAACACTTTTTTCAAATTTCCCACATACACCCGTTAGTCCGGGTATCAAGCATGTAATTTCTGACATTTGAAAAGACATGGCTGCAAAATTTTCTACACAAAAAACAGTGATAAGCAAGCTTTAAACAAAAAAAGAAAATGTGCATCCTTTTTGGAAAAAAAAAAAAGGTAACTATCGTATGAGAATTAAACCTACCCCGGCCGGGATTGAACCCCGGGTCAGAGTCTCAAAATCCAGCCGTCGCGTTAGCACAGACCAGCTAGCCACAATAAAATTCTCCCAAATAGGGATATTTTACACCATAGGAAGGTTAGCACAGGACCACTTGACCACAAATGCAAGTTTTTACAGACGAAACTCCAGTAGCGTGGCCCTGACAAACTCTAGCTCAAGCCCTTCATGCCCTCACTGACTCACGAAATCGAATGACCGATTTCAAACAAAACCCTACCCCCGGGCCCTGGTTTGTTTCAATCGTGTCATTACGATTTCGTGAGTCATGTTGCGGGAGTGAAAGGGGCTTGGCTAGAGTTCGTACGGCCAACAATGGGGAGATTCGTCTGTAAAAACTTGCATTTTTGGCACAGTGGTGTAGAAATATACTGTTCGCGATTTTTTGTGGGTAGTGGTCTAGTGTAACGCGACGGGGGGGGAGTTTTTGGGCTCTTGACCCCGGGTTTAATCCCGGGCCCGGGGGGTTTTGGGTTGTTTGCAAACGTTTTCATTACAAATTTGTGAGCAGTATAGAATTATTATTGGGGAAAAACACCTTAACCCCTTTTTTTTCACAAACCCAAAATTAGAAATGCTGCAAGGTAACTTAAAAAAAAATCAAAAGTTAAAATCTTTTTTTTAAAGGGATAACACTTGAAAATTGTAGGCTTTAAGTTGGCGTTGAGCGCAATTTCACAACACACTCGTCCACTTTGAGGTTACTTTAGACCAATTCCATTCCTGAAATTATGAAATTACTGGATATTTTGCTAGTCTCGCCTGTGTTAGCGAGTGCAAGAATTTGGCAATATGACCAATATTCAACATATTCTAATTAAAAACAAAATAAATGCAGTAGGCTTTCCGGATAAAGCAAAATTTCCTTTGCCCATTAATAAAATCTTGAGGCCTCCCCTCCATTATGAATCAAACCCAGCTATTAAAATATCACTAAGAATACTTGGTCATGGTTTTTGCCATCCCAATAAATGAAAGATTAGGAAAAAAAAAAAATCAACCCAGGGGGTGGGGGGCATATTTTATGATCAGTTAGATGTTCACTGCAGTGACTTACAGGCTGTAAAAGTACCACTGCCATGTTGAAGCAATAGGAGCCCCAAAGCCAGCCAACACTGTTCTAAGACACTATCACATGCATAAAACAAATTAATCTTCACATGCAACTAGTGAATTACTATATAAGCTTAGGGCATTCAACAAGAATGAATTTATTACCAGTTCTGTGTTGAAGAGCCATGGAAATGAATTTAGAACATAAGCAGAAAAAAATAAGCAAAGAAATAATACTGAACATACCTGGTAGATGCACTGAAACCAATTTCACCGGCTCATTGTACAAATTCTTGCCTCTTCAAGCCCTGAATCATCAGTTGTAAAATACTTAATTTGTGCTATCCCACATGTTTAAATATATCAATATACAAGCAAGAGAAATTCCATTGCCTTTAATACATTTAACATGACTATTAGATAAATTACTTGCTTAAAATTAGTTGTGAACCTAATCAAGACAAGTGCAAAAAATTTCAACCCAATGCTGCTAGTCAAGCACACAGAACTTAAAACTAAATTTGCCTTAAATTTCTAATAAATAATTGAGGCTTGTTAATAAATATAACAAGGCTAGAGAAACAACACTCCAGTGAAAAAGTAGTTTATTAACTGGAGATACCATAGCTGGTAATAACTTTGGAGTATGGCTCAATCCTTCCTGCTACCTTACTCATGGCCCGTTTCTTCAGTCGCTGTAAAAAAAGTGAAAAATACTGCAATTAATAAATTCTTACATGTCAAAAATGCAACAGTTACAAAAAGATTTAAGTTTACAGGTGTGAGTACCCAGAAATTATAGGATTCTAACACATTGAATATACACTGAAACATTAAATAATTAAGAGAATCACGAGTCATCTGGAAAACCTTTTAAAAATTAAATTAGAAAAATTATCAGCACATCACATAAGGTGTCTGTCAAACTATTAACACACATCAAGTCACATACTGCCTTCATCTCTCATTCGCTTCTGCTCTCTCTCATCTAACGGTATTACTGCTGTAATTGTGTAGTGTAGTTGGAATGCAGTGATGTGTAAGGGTAGGCAGTAGCTGAACTGCCTTCCTTTCTTGTTCATTCCCACCCCTCATTTAATTAACCACTTCCTCTGTGGCATGCTCCTGCTCTCCACACCTTACCCCTTCTCCTAGGCCAATATTTTACTATTGCTATGATAGTTAAATGGGTAACTGTTCGTGAGCCTTCAATTAATTATATTACTATTGGAGTGCATCTTTTTGGTCCCAGTTTCCTGTTCAGATTTCAAAACTAAAGCTTCTATGTAACATTTCACTTATTGGTGTTGTGGTACAGTGGAACCCTAGATTTCGTCCTTAACCCTTTCAGGGTCGAGACCCTCTCCTAAACTTGTTCTCAGGGTTGAAAATTTTACGGAAAAAAAAAAATTCATATGAAATGATAGAGAATCTTTTCTTGATCATAATGACATCAAAAGCGTGAAATTTGATGGAAAACTTAAGGAATTATGCTCTCGCAAAGTTAGTGGTCTCGACGATATTTAAGCATTGCCGATTTTGCCCGTGCAAGAGAGCTCATTGTTATGCGAAATTATCGTTATGCGAATGAATTTTCCCCATAAGAAATAATGGAAATCAAATTAATCCGTGCAAGACACCCCAAAGTATGCAAAAAAAAAAATTTTACCACATGAAATATTAATTTTAATACACACAAACTGAAAAAGACATGCACAATTACATGACGCTTACTTTTATTGAAGATCTGGTGATGATTGATGGGATGGGAGGAGGAGAGAGTGTTAGTGTTTAGAAGGGGAATCCCCTTCCATTAAGACTTGGTGTCAAGTCCTTTTCTGGGGTTACTTCCCTTCTTTTAATGCCACTAGGACCAGCTTCAGAGTCACTGGAGTTCTGTCGCACAACATATCTGTCCATAGTGGCCTGTACCTCTCGTTCCTTTATGACTTCCCTAAAGTGTTTCACAACATTGTCAGTGTAATAGTCACCAGCACGGCTTGCAAAAGCTGTGTGAGGGTGATTTTCATCCATGAAGGTTTGCACTTCAAGCCACTTTGCACAGATTTCCTTAATCTTTGTAGTAGGCAATTTCTTCAATTTCTCTCTCCCCTCCTTCGAACCAGTTTCCTCAGGTCTGGCCTCTTGCTGTTGAAGTTGATCTGTCAGCTCATCAGTGGTTAGTTCTTCATTGTCCTCCTCCACCAACTCTTCCACATCATCCCCACTAACCTCCAACCCCAAGGACTTTCCCAATGCCATAATGGATTCCTCAACTGGCATAGGATTCTCAGGGTTAGCCTGAAACCCTTCAAAATCCTTTGGTCTACACATTCTGGCCACAGTTTCTTCCAAGCAGAGTTCAAGGTCCTCTTAGTCACTCCCTCCCAAACCTTACCTATAAGGTTTACACAATTGAGGATATTAAAGTGATCTCTCCAAAACTCTTAGTCAGTTGAGTTTGAGGTCACTACAAAGCACCTTTCAAACAGAGCTTTTGTGTACAGTTTTTTGAAGTTTGCAATAACCTGCTGGTCCATGGGCTGCAGGAGAGGAGTGGTATTAGGAGGCAAAAACTTCACCTTAATGAATTTCATGTCCCCATAAAGTCGCTCTGCCACGTCTGTAGGATGACCAGGGGCATTGTCTAACACCAGGAGGCACTCAAGTTCTAATTTCTTTTCAGTTAGGTAATCTTTCACATTGGGGGCAAATGCTTGGTGTAACCAGTCTTAGAAAAAGTCCCTAGTGACCCATGCCTTACTGTTTGCCATCCACAGCACACACAAATTTTCCTTGAGGACATTCTTTTGCCTGAACGGTCTGGGAGTTTCAGAGTGATACACTAATAAAGGCTTCACTTTGCAATCACCAGTAGCATTGGAACACATCAACAGAGTAAGCCTGTCTTTCATAGGCTTATGTCATGGGAGTGCCTTTTCCTCCTGAATAATGTAGGTCCTGCTTGGCATTTTCTTCCAAAACAGGCCTGTTTCATCACAATTAAACACTTGTTCAGGTTTCAGTCCTTCAGTTTCGATGTACTCCTTGAATTCCTGCACATATTTTTCAGTTGCTTTGTGGTCCGAACTGGCAGCCTCACCATGCCTTATCACACTATGTATGCCACTACGCCTCTTAAATCTCTCAAACCAACCTTTGCTGGCCTTAAATTCACTCACATCATCACTAGTTGCAGGCATTTTTTTAATTAAATCCTGATGCAACTTCCTAGCCTTTTCACTTATGATCACTTGAGAGATGCTATCTCCTGCTATCTGTTTCTCATTTATCCACACCAATAAGAGTCTCTCAACAGCTTCCATCACTTGCGATCTCTGTTTCGAAAACACAGTTAAACCTTTGGCAAGAACAGCTTCCTTGATTGCCTTTTTGTTGCCCACAATAGTAGCGATGGTTTTATTGGGGTTTACTATACAACCTGGCCAGCTCGGAGACACGCACTCCACTTTCATACTTATGAATGATCTCTTTCTTCATCTCTATAGTAATTCTCACCCTTATTGCTGTAGGGTTGGCACTAGAAGCTTTCTTGGGGCCCATGGTCACTTATTTTGCAGATAAAAATCACCAGAAACACTGTAATAATACGAAATGTTCCGATTGTATGCTTGGATGTTACCGTGGAGGCTGGCTGGTAAACAATGCCACCGGCGGAACATGTGAGGCTGGCTAAGGGTGCACATTAGACGCGTCTCGGACGAACAGCGTTGAGCAGGTTTTTTAGCGGCATGCGAGGCAAAATCTTGGCGATAAAATGTAGCAGTATGCGGATTTAACGTTATGTGATGCCAACGGTATGCGGGGGTCCACTGTACTAGTCAAAAATCGTAACTATTTTGCTAGAACTATTTTTTTCTATCAAATGAATACAAGAAACCACCCATTTACCGATTTCAACTATCCAATAGTCAGAAATTGGCAATTTTGCCAATTTCACACAGATTTCAAAAGATGCCAATTTCTCAATAGGGTCCAGAATAAACAAGACAGACATTCCTAGCACTAAAATAACATTTTTCTCTGTTCACGTCCCCAGGCCCTTCTTACATTTCTTTTGCTTTCCACTCTGAATTTTTATTCTCACAAAAAATAGAAGATTTACTGTTAAGCAGACTACTGTATAAGTGGAGAAATGGTATAATATCAGCGCACCTGTGAAAGAATATTAGACTCACCAGTTGACGTGTATTGGACGCATAGCATGATTTGTTTACTTTTGAACTTTGGCAAAAATCCAACATTTCTGCTACTTTGAGTTCAATATCAAGGTACTTTTCATTGTGTAACCAATCAAGATCATCTCAATTTCTGTAACATGTCTTACATTCTATAAAATGAGACCAGGAAAACTAGAATACAACCATAAATACCATACGAAAGTAGAGTGCAAAGTTGCTGTTTTAAACCAAAAACATGGTCAGTTTTCTTTTCTCATTATGCACTGTGTGCTGCAGGATTTTTTTTATACTGTACACACAGACCACAGACCCATTCTTTCATATGTACGCCTACCAGCTTTCTCTCGCTAGATCTGAAGGCGCTAGAATTTACGCGTACTAGTACATTAATAACCCTGGTGCGTAAAACATATTAGTACATGTACGTTGGAAACCCTGAAATGGTTAATCTGTTTCAGGTCGGTCGAAATCTGAAATAGGCGAAATCCGAAGTAATATTTCCCATGAGAAATAATGCAAATCCAATTAATCTGTTCCAGACACCCAAAAATATTAAAAAATATATTTTATAGAGAAGAACTATAGTTTTACAGACAGAAAACAATGAAATAAATATAAAGCACTAATTTTAATGGATAAATGAATATTTATATCACTTTTACCTTTATTGAAGGCTTTGGCATATTCTTTAAGAAATCCGCATGCAACTGCCTTGCCTTTTCGCAAATTATTGCCTCCACAACACTATCTCCCGCTAACTGTTTTTCGTTGATCCACACCAACAACTTCTCAACATCATCTATTGTTTGCCATCACTGCCACCCTCTACCACCATCACAACCACCATCACAACCACCTTCTACCACCATCACTACCACAACCACCTTTACCATCATCACTACCACAACTACCCTCTACCACCATCACTACCACAACCACCCTCTACCACCATCACTACCACAACCACCCTCTACCACCACCACTACAACAACCCTCTACCACCACCACTACAACAACCCTCTACCACCACCACTACAACAACCCTCTACCACCACCACTACAACAACCCTCTACCACCACCACTACAACAACCCTCTACCACCACCACTACAACAACCCTCTACCACCATCACTACCACAACCACCCTCTACCACCACCACTACCACAACCACCCTCTACCACCATCACTACCACAACCACAATCACTACCACAACCACCCTCCACCACCATCACTACCACAACCACCCTCTACCACCATCGCTACTACCAATGTTTCAGATAAACATGTGGTGTATTGCTCACTGAATAAGTGAGAGGCAGACTGAGTAGCACACGTGCAAGCGGCCGCGTTCAGAGCAGGCGGACGCATCTAATACAGACAACTTCTGAGTGAAGGTACAAAGCCTGGGGTAAAATTTCGCCAAAAAAAGTGGTCAAAACCTGAACTGTACAATATCCGCAACTGGACGAAATCTGGGGTTCCACTATTACAACTGGTTATTTGAAAGTTAGATGACAATCTAACTTAGCCTGAATGACAAATTGAAAAATATGCTTAATAGACAGATGTGGGAAAATTGTGTGATGAATCCATTAACAATTTTACCTAATTAACATTGTAGACATTCATTTTTCAAACTGTTCAGGATTATGGGGTGAGTTTGTAAGCAACCTTAGTAGGTTGGTGGACAACAACCACCCAGGGAGGTACTACCATCCTGCCAAGTAAGTGTGATATGGAAACCTGCAGTTGTTTTATATGATGGTAGGATTGCCGGTGTCTTTCTGGTTCAAACACACGGGATAATAGGTACACAGTGGTCCCTCGTTTTTCGTAATTAATCCGTTCCTGGAGGAGCTACTATAAACGAAATTTACGATTTGCGAATCAATTTTCCCCACAAGAAATAATGTAAATACAATTAATCCGTTCCTGACACCCAGAAGTATTAAAACAAAAATTTTTTTACATGAAATATACATGTAGTACATAAACAATACAATGGGAAATGAATGAAACATTAACAGCATAACACTTACCTTTATTGGAGATTCTTCTTAGTGTATGGGAGACTGGAGGAGGAGAGAGATTGGATTATTTACAGTTTGGAAGGGGAATCCCCTTCCAGCAACACCTCAGGTACCAATTGCTTCTCTGGGGTTGCTTCTCTTCTCTGTTTCTTAATGCCACTAGGACCACCTTGAGAGTCACTCTAGTCCTGTCTCGCAAAGTAACTGTGGAGAGAGCTCTGTTTCTGGCGTCTTTTTAACACTTCCCTAAAATGGCCCAAGACTTTGTCACATATTTCTCACTTTCTTTACCACAGGCTTGGCACTAGGAGCTTTCTTTGGAGCCATGGTAGCTTATTTAGTACTTGCAAGCACTAAAGTGAGTGGAATATTATGAAATATTTCGTAGGAGCACTTGAGGGGACCTTCACTCACTGGTAAACAATGCCAGACTGGCTGGGTAGGGAGGCCTCCCCGGCTCACACCATGCATATGCGTCCCGGACGAACTACTATTTGCGAGTCAACCTATGAAAAGCGAGTCCATGTTTATACGAAAATACCCCTATGATTGGTGAAATTTACGATTGCCGAGAACTACGAAAAGAGAGGGACCACTGTATCTTCAAACTTCTACTTACATATAGGTCACACGACACACGCATGTACATATATATATTTACACACCGATCTGGGTTGTCTATTTTTCTCAATAGTTCTTGTTCTTTACTTCCTCTTATATCCAGGGAAAGTGGAAGAGAATTCTTTCCTTGTAAGCCATGTGTCATAAGAAAGGACTAAAATGCTGGGAGCAGGGGGCTAGTAACCCATTCTGTATAAATTATGAAATAAGAAGAAAAAACTTTTGCTTTTCACTTTAGGTCACCCTACTTCGGAGGGACATGGCCAGTTTGCTAGGAGAAAAAAAAAATTGTAAGCAGCAACAGTGTTTGCCTGAGACCAACAAAATTATTTTATGTACAGTTTACAACTAATCTCCTAAAAAAAATAAAATTACCAATACAGTTAACAAAAAAAAAAAATCTTTAATTCAGCCTAAAATTCTTAACTATTTTTAGCTCTGGGTCAATCTACCTAAAAAAAATTGTGAGATCTACATAAAACATGCACAAAATGATCAAGTATGAATGCACTGGAAAAAAAAAAAAATTAATATTTGCAATGATCAAACCGCAGATCATAATTTGAAAAATTAATTGGTTTGCGCATGCCATCTTAACATACTGTCTCCTACCAAGGCAGGAGAACCTGAGGAAACCGAAAACTTAACAACCATTCATTCAATCATTGTCTTGCCAGAAGCACACTGACATCACAGATCATATGATCCTCCAAACTCCCAACATCCCCATTTCCACACAGGTACTATACTTCCCACCTCCAGGATTCTGATCAAACAAATCAGTTTCCCTGAATCCCTAAATGTTATCCTGCTCACTAAGAGAACATTAAATAATAACCATTTGCCTTCACTCACTCATCTGACATGCTCAAAAGCCTGTTGGATATTAAGAGCCCCCTAGCACTCAAAACCACCTCTATCCCCTCCCTCTAACCTTTCAATGCATGCATGATTTACATCCCAAAAGCTGAAGAAAAACCTATTAGGCTTAGAAACAAAAAGAAAGGAAAATAATATTCTTACCATGTCTGCCTTTCTTGCCTTGTAAAGGACAGCAGCCTTCAGTTTCCTGCGTGTCTCCAATGTTGCAACAACGCTCTTATACTTCCAGCCAACTTCATGGGAGAGGCGGCCCAAATAGCAGAACTGAAAATTTTTAAAGTCTGGAATTAATATGGTTTAAAGGGAACTATTTTACATCTCTATATAGCAAATATGTCCAATTAAAAAGTATAAAAAAGTTTGTGGCACAATAGTACAAACTACATGCAGTAATCATACCCCACATCATAAGACATGTGCAACACTGGGTATGTATTGAGACTTTTGCAAAGCAGCAACTTTTTTCATTAATGCAATGATATTTACTTCTATACTGGTAATAATCTTCCACAGTCAATCAAATTCAATTGTTAATTAACCCATTGACTGTCGCAACCCCCAATCCTGAGGCGTCTCCTGGTGTCGCAAAATTTAAAAAAAAAAAATTTTTCTTATGAAATGATAGAGAATCTTTTCCAGATTGTAATGACACCAAAAAACGAAATTTGATGGAAAACTGACGGAATTATGCTCTCGTGAAGTTAGCAACCTCGGCAATATTTACAAATCGGCGATTTCGCCCACTTTGAGCCCTACTTTCGGCTAATTCCGTTGTTCCAGTCGACCAAACTCATAGCTATTTCTTTAGAACTCCATTTTTTCTATCGATTGAGTACAAGAAACTGCCCATTTACTGATTTCAACTACCCAATAATGTGGTCAGAAATTTGCAATTTGGCCAATTTCACAAAAATTAAAAAAAAAAAAAAATGACAATTTCAAAATAAGGTCCAGAATGAACAATGCAGACATTACTGGCTCTAAAATAACATTTTTTGTTCATCAGTCATGTCTCCAGGCCCCTCTGATATTACTCTTGCTTTCTATTTTGAATTTTTATTCAAACAAGAAATAGAAGACTTACTATTATGCAGACTACTGCAATACTGTAATAATTGTATAAATAACATCAACCCATTCATGACTGCGTATTAGAATGGCTAGTTGGACATTTATTGGACAATTACATCATTTGTTTACTTTTGAACATTGGCAAAAAATCAGACATTTCCCCTACTTTGAGCTCTATTTCCAGGTTCTTTTTATAGAAAAATCAATCAAAATCACCTCTATTTCTATAATATGTTTTCCATTCTATCAAATGAGACCAAGAAAACGAGAATATAACCATAAATACTATACGAAAATAGACCACAAAGTCGGCATTTTAATAAAAAAAAGTCAGGTTTTTTTTTCATTATGCACTGCGTGCTCCAGGATTTTTTTTATATGGTGCACACTGACCACACAGACCCACTCTCTCACATGTGGGCCTACCAGCTTTCTCCTGCTTGATTTGAAGCCGCTAGAATTTATGAGTATGTATACGTCAAACACGGTACCTTGTAAGACATATATACGGCCGCGACAGTCAAAGGGTTAATTCAATTTTAGTTTAGACATCAATATCAATCTAACCATGCTTTTAACTCTACAGTATTTACAAGATATTCAAAATTTCAATCATCAAATGTGGTTCCTTTACACTCATCAGTTTTTCCAACAATCACAGGCAAGAAGCTTATACTAAATTTACTACTGAACTGAAGAATCTGTTTACCCATCAAACATTTGAATACTTATTTGATTGTGCAAGCACCACACATACTGTACATACCTTACGGCCAGGTTTCAGACGAGTAACCCTCATAGCATCAGGGACTACCTTGCGAGCTCTTTTGGCATATGGAGGAGGAACACCCTCAAAACTCTTAAGACGCTTGAGTGCCTGTTGGCCACGAGTGGTTTTGTGGGGCAGCATTCCTGTATGTAGAGAGATTTTTTATCTTGGTCCCAAGCAAACTTAGAGAAAGTTATAAGAAATCTCAATGTTGAAGATAATACTGAACACTAACCTCTAACTGTCCGCTGGAAAATCTTTGAGGGTGCCCGGTGATGGAATGGCCCTCGCTTGGGATTCACATTGCACCTTTTGCGAAGAAATGCAAGATACTTCAACTTGTTCCGGTAGAATGAACCAGAGATGTTAATTTTCTCACAGCTGCAAAGGGAAGTCAAACAAGGTTCTAATATTTTAACTCAACATTACTGACTTTCATAGCAAATTACTGTACCATACTTTCTACCACAACACTAATTTTACGAGGAGATTACAGAAAGCTGTGTACACTCAGGCAATTTATAAGAGTTCGAAGTTGAATGGGCACATTCGTGAACTCAACTGGTAAAATGGACAGCATACTAGTTAAATAATTAGGAAATGGGTCAAAATGAGCATTGGAACTGGCTTAAAATAGTGGGCAAAATCATAGATATATTAATTACACACAGAATGCCTACCTGGACCTGTTTTCCAAAATTTTCCAAAAATTTGGGCATTTTTGGTGACATTACCTTCATAAAACCATTCTCTAGTTTGATATTTTAACCCTTTGAGGGTCAACGAGCCCTCTCTGAGACTCGTTCTCAGGGTTGGCCAGATTAAAAAAAAAAAAAACTTATGAAAAGATAGAATCTTTTCCCGATCATAATGACACCAAAAGTATGAAATTTGATGGAAAACTTACGGAATTATGTTCTCGCGAAGTTAGCAGTCTCGGCAATGTTTACGCATCGGCGATTTTGCCCACTTTGAGCCCCATTTTCGGCCAATTCCACTGTACTAGTCGACAAAAAACATGAATATTTCGCTAGAACTCCATTTTTTCTATCGAATGAGTGCAAGAAACCACTCATTTACCAATTTCAACTATCCAGTACAGTGGTCAGAATTTAGCAACTTTGCCAATTTCACACAAATTTCAAAAGATGCCAATTTCCAAATAGGGTCCAGAATAAACAAGAAAGACATTCCTGGCACTAAAATGACATTTCCTCTGTTCATTAGTCACATCTCAAGGCCCCTCTTACATTCTTTTGCTTTCCACTTTGAATTTTTCTCACAAAAAATAGAAGATTTACTGTTACGCAGACTATTGCATTAGTATAAATAATATTGGCGCACTTGCAAAAGAATATTAGACTCACCAGTTAACGTGTATTGGACGCTTGGCATGATTTGTTTACTTTTGAACTTTGGTAAAAATTGAACATTTCTGCTACTTTGAGCTCTATTTCAAGGTACTTTTCATTGTAAAACCAGTCAAAATCATCTCAATTTCTGTAATATGTCTTCCATTCTATAAAATGAGACCAAGAAAACTAGAATAAAACAATAAATAACATACGAAAATACAGTGCAAAGTCGCTGTTTTAAACCAAAAACAGTCAAATTTTTTTTTTCTCATTACACACTGTGTACTGCAGGATTTTTTTTTATACTGGCCTGGTGGTTAACGCTCTCGCTTCACACGGTGAGGGCCTGGGTTCGATTCCCAGCCAGAGTAGAAACATTGGACGTGTTTCTTTCCACCTGTTGTCTATGTTCCCCATCAGTAAAATGGGTACCTGGGTGTTAGTCGACTGGTGTGGGTCGCATCCTGGGACACTGACCTAAGGAGGCCTGGTCACAGACCGGGCCGCGGGGGCGTTGACCCCGGAACTCTCTCCAGAAACTCCAGATAAACACTGACCACATAGACCCATTCTTTCATATGTAGGCTTACCAGCTTTCTCCCACTAGATTTGAGGGCGCTAGAATTTAGGCGTACTAGTACGTCAAAAACCCTGGGTTGTAAGCTGTACTAGCACGACCGAAACCCTCAAAGGGTTAAATGGAGCAATATTTTGTACTTTTAATTTCAGGAGGAAGGGGGGCAGGGGGACACATCTGGGAAAGGTTAATGTAGTACATATGTTTCATTTTGTCAAAATCTCAAAACAGTATAGTATTTTATATTATTGCATTATTTTGCCTTTATGCCAGAGAGGCTTTTGATCCATGAAACTGGATTTATCTTCCCCTTTCTTACATCAAATATGAATGCCTCCCATTCCACCGGTGCTACATGGGGCACAACTATATTAATTTCCATTGGATTTGTTAACACCTCTTCGGATTCACTTCATATCTTCACTGCTAATATTCAACCACACTACAAACTCATCCTGCACTCCAGTATTCCAATCGTGTGCCCTGAGGTAGAGGACCAGGATTATGCATTATGGGGCTACCTTTCTCAGGTCAGCAGCTATCATTGTACACCTACTTTACATTTAAGTTGTAATATCAGAATCTTCTATCCAACTGATGACAAAGTTTGAGAGGACACTGGCATTCAGTAGGACAAGTGTAGGAGACTTTTTGGATGAATAATCCAAGAAAGCCAAGTATTGTAGTGACTTATTTCCACTGGGGCCTTAAGGTCCTCTCTTTTCCTAGGATTAACCCTTTCGGGGTCAGTGTCGTACTAGTACGACTTGCACGCCAGGGTTGGTGCCCTACTAGTCCACGTAAATTCTAGTGCCTTCAAATCTAGCGAGAGAAAGCTGGTAGGGCTACGTATGAAAGAATGGGTCTGCGTGGTCAGTGTGCACAGTGTAAAAAAAATCCTGCAGCACACAGTGCATAATGAGAAAAAAAAAAAACTGGTATTTAGTTTAAAACATCGACTTTGCAGTGTTTTTCATATGGTATTCATGGTTGTATTCTCGTTTTCTTGGTGTTATTTTTATAGAATGGAAGACATTACAGAAATTAAGATGATCTTGATTGGTTTCCCAACTAAAAGTACCTTGAAATTGAGCTCAAAGTAGCAGAAATGTTCGATTTTTGCCAATGTTCAAAAGTACACAAATCATGCCACGCATTCAATACACGTCAACTGGTGAGTGTCTGTATCTCTCTCTCACTGGTACACGTAAGTCAAGTTATCATACATATTATAAATTACCTAGGATAACCCAAAACATCCAGACAAAGTGCTATATAGTGGATCTGTGCTCCAGTGCCCTAAATTAATAATAATAATAATCATTATTATTACAATAATGCATATGTGATTAGGTCAGGGGTTTCAAATAGATTTAGAGCTAAAGAAGGAATAGCAATAATGTTGAAGGATAAGCTATGGCAGGAAAAGAGGGACTATAAATGTATTAATTCAAGGATTATGTGGAGTAAAATAAAGACTGGATTTGAAAAGTGGGTTATAATAAGCGTGTATGCACCTGGAGAAGAGAGAAGTGTAGAGGAGAGAGAGAGAGAGAGATTGAGATTTTGGGAAATGAGTGAATGCGTGGGGAGTTTTGAATCAAGTGCGAGAGTAAAGGTGGTTGGGGATTTCAATGCTAAAGTGGGTAAAAATGTTAAATGTTATGGAGGGAGTAGTAGGTAAATTTGGGGTGCCAGGGGTAAATGTAAATGGGGAGCCTTTAATTAAGCTATGTGTAGAAAGATTTGGTAATAAGTAATACATATTTTATGAAAAAGAGGGTAAATAAATATACAAGGTATGATGTAGCACGTAATGAAAGTAGTTTATTAGATTATGTATTGGTGGATAAAAGGTTGATGGGTAGGCTCCAGGATGTACATGTTTATAGAGGGGCAACTGATATATCGGATCATTATTTAGTTGTAGCTACAGTTAGAGTAAGAGGTAGATGGGAAAAGAGGAAGGTGGCAACAACAAGTAAGGAGGTGAATGTGTATGAACTAAGGGAGGAGGAAGTTCGGGTGAGATATAAGCGACTATTGGCAGAAAGGTGGGCTAGTGCAAAGATGAGTAGTGGGGGGGGGTTGAAGAGGGTTGGAATAGTTTTAAAAAAGCAGTATTAGAATGTGGGGCAGAAGTTTGTGGTTATAGGAGGGTGGGGGCAGGAGGAAAGTGTGATTGGTGGAATGATGAAGTAAAGGGTGTGATAAAAGAGAAAAAGGTAGCTTATGAGAGGTTTTTACAAAGCAGAAGTGTTATAAGAAGAGCAGAGTATATGGAGAGTAAAAGAAAGGTAAAGAGAGTGGTGAGAGTGCGCAAAAGGAGAGCAGATGAAAGAGTGGGAGAGGCACTGTCAAGAAATTTTAATGAAAATAAGAAAAAATTTTGGAGTGAGTTAAACAAGTTAAGAAAGCCTAGGGAAAGTATGGATTTGTCAGTTAAAAACAGAGTAGGGGAGTTAGTAGATGGGGAGATGGAGGTATTAGGTAGATGGCGAGAATATTTTGAGGAACTTTTAAATGTTAAGGAAGAAACAGAGGCAGTAATTTCATGCACTGGTCAGGGAGGTATACCATCTTTTAGGAGTGAAGAAGAGCAGAATGTAAGTGTGGGGGAGGTACGAGAGGCATTACGTAAAATGAAAGGGGGGTAAAGCAGCTGGAACTGATGGGATCATGACAGAAATGTTAAAAGCAGAGGGGGATATAGTGTTGGAGTGGTTGGTACTTTTGTTTAATAAATGTATGAAAGAGGGGAAGGTACCTAGGGATTGGCAGAGAGCATGTATAGTCCCTTTATATAAAGGAAAAGGGGACAAAAGAGACTAAAAATTATAGAGGAATAAGTTTACTGAGTATACCAGGAAAAGTGTACAGTAGGGTTATAATTAAAAGAATTAGAGGTAAGACAGAATGTAGGACTGCGGATGAGCAAGGAGGTTTTAGAGTGGGTAGGGGATGTGTAGATCAAGTGTTTACATTGAAGCATATGTGAACAGTATTTAGATAAAGGTAGGGAAGTTTTTATTGCATTTATGGATTTAGAAAAGGCATATGATAGAGTGGATAGGGGAGCAATGTGGCAGATGTTGCAAGTATATGGAATAGGTGGTAAGTTACTAAATGCTGTAAAGAGTTTTTATGAGGATAGTGAGGCTCAGGTTAGGGTGTGTAGAAGAGAGGGAGACTACTTCCCGGTAAAAGTAGGTCTTAGACAGGATGTGTAATGTCACCATGGTTGTTTAATATATTTATAGATGGGGTTGTAAAGGAAGTAAATGCTAGGGTGTTCGGGAGAGGGGTGGGATTAAATTTTGGGGAATCAAATTCAAAATGGGAATTGACACAGTTACTTTTTGCTTATACTGTGCTTATGGGAGATTTTAAAGAAAAATTGCAAAGGTTAGTGGATGAGTTTGGGAATGTGTGTAAAGGTAGAAAGTTGAAAGTGAACATAGAAAAGAGTAGGGTGATGAGGGTGTCAAATGATTTAGATAAAAATTGGATATCAAATTGGGGAGGAGGAGTATGGAAGAAGTGAATGTTTTCAGATACTTAGAGTTGACGTGTCGGCGGATGGATTTACGAAGGATGAGGTTAATCATAGAATTGATGAGGGAAAAAAGGCGAGTGGTGCGTTGAGGTATATGTGGTCAAAAAACGTTATCTATGGAGGCAAAGAAGGGAATGTATGAAAGTATAGTAGTACCAACACTCTTATATGGGTGTGAAGCTTGGGTGGTAAATGCAGAAGCGAGGAGACTGTTGGAGGCAGTGGAGATGTCCTGTTTAAGGGCAATGTGTGGTGTAAATATTATGCAGAAAATTCGGAGTGTGGAAATTAGGAGAAGGTGTGGAGTTAATGAAAGTATTAGTCAGAGGGCAGAAGAGGGGTTGTTGAGGTGGTTTGGTTATTTAGAGAGAATGGATCAAAGTAGAATGACATGGAAAGCATATAAATCTATAGGGGAAGGAAGGCGGGATAGGGGTTGTCCTCGAAAGGGTTGGAGAGAGGGGGTAAAGGAGGTTTTGTGGGCAAGGGGCTTGGACTTCCAGCAACCGTGCGTGAGCGTGTTAGATAGGAGTGAATGGAGACGAATGGTATTTGGGACCTGACGATCTGTTGGAGTGTGAGCAGGGTAATATTTAGTGAAGGGATTCAGGGAAACCGGTTATTTTCATATAGTCGGACTTGAGTCCTGGAAATGGGAAGTACAATGCCTGCACTTTAAAGGAGGGGTTTGGGATATTGGCAGTTTGGAGGGATATGTTGTGTATCTTTATATGTGTATGCTTCTAAACTGTTGTATTCTGAGCACCTCTGCAAAAACAGCGATTATGTGCGAGTGTGGTGAAAGCGTTGAATGATGATGAAAGTATTTTCTTTTTGGGGATTTTCTTTCTTTTTTGGGTCACCCTGCCTCGGTGGGAGATGGCCGACTTGTCGTAAAAAAAAAAAAATACATATGTACTAATATTAATATTATTATTATTAGGCTATAATATAATGATCGTGTCCACTCATTACTTACCTTAAAATATCTGTAGTTTTAATGTAGAGTGAGAGGTGAGTAAACAAGATTAAATGAATAAATGAGAGAGAATGCGAATGTAGAATGTTCACAAGTTATGTAAACAAACGGTGTTGTTGTTGTTGTTACCAGCCCGGACACGAATGATTCCTGTTCACTGACAAGCCAACCAGAAAAACATCTCATATTTGTTAATTTATATGTTATGTAGCATGTTTATTACATAATTTTGAAAAAAAATCATAGATGGATTAACCAAAATGTCTATATTAACGTTTTATACATTTAATGCGCCTCAGTGATTATCATCATTATTAATATGGCATCTTCAAGACCAAGTACACTCTTAATGAGTGGCTCTGAGACAGACAAGCAAAGACAGACACACAGGTAGACAAAGACAGACACACAGGTAGACAAAGACAGACACACACAGATACAGACAGGTTTATGTGCAACCGTGAAAACAAATAGAGTTCGAGATTAAGAGCCTTTCTTGCCACAATCTCCAGTGCAAGATTCAGACTTCATCTTAGGGGCCATGGTGAAATTTACTCTCCAGTTAGTACAGTTAATACAGTATGATGCTGCTGATAGGGCAGGGTTACTCAAACTGATGCTGCCTGCATGACACATTGCCCCCACGAGTATTGTCAAACATTGTACAGTGGTGTGCATCAGCCCGCCCAGCCCAGCTGCCAGATGCACGGTCGTAAGTAGAGTGGATGTACGTCGAGCAGGTCGTAAGTCGGATGGTAGGTGTATTCTTCCACAAGTTTGCTGATATTATTTATACCATTTTTACACTAATGCAGTAGTCTGCGTGACAGTAAATATTCTATTTTTTTGCGAGAATAAAAGTTCAACGTGGAAAGCAAAAGAAATGTAAGAGGGGCCTGGGGCCTTGACTAATGAACAGAGGAAATGTTATTTTAGTGCCAAAAATGTCTGTCTATTCTGGACCATATTTGGAAACTGGCATCTTTTGAAATTTGTGTGATAATGGTGAAATTGCCAATTTCTGACCATTTTATTGGATAGCTGAAATTGGTAATCGACTCGTTTCTTGTGCTCATTCGATAGAACAGTTCTAACGTTATAGCTATGAATTTTGCCGAAGGGTTCATTGGAATTGGCCGAAAATAGGGCTCAAAATGGGCGAAATCGATTATGCATAAACATCATTGAGACTGCTAAATTCGCGAGAGCATCATTCCATAAATTTTCCATCAAATTTCATACTTTTGGTGTCATTGTGATCGGGAAAAGATTCTCTATCACTTCATAATTTTTTTTTTTTTTTTGAAAAATTTTCGACCCTGAGAACAGTTTAGGAGAGGGCCTCTCGACCCTGAAAGGGTTAAGGAAACTTGCCCATAACACCTCCAGGAATCTAACCCAAGTACATTTATAGATATACGTAAATCCCTACCACAACAAATTCACTAAGCCACGAAACAGTACAGATCATGGGACAGTACACCTACAGCTGTGCTAATTGAAGGTCAACTTCACACCTTTAGGTTAGGGGAGATGAGTGTCTACACTGTTTAAGAGTAAGATGACATACCTGACAACAACCACACGCTGTCCAGTGAGTACTGTCTTGGCCACGACAGCTGCCAGGCGACCCAACAGATGATTCGAGGCATTTATCAAAATTGGCTAAAACAAAAGTTAATAAATTTAAAAAATAAGAAAAAATGCTAAATCAATGGTTAGGTGTCATTACAAAACTTAAGTTTCAAAAAATAGCATCTCCATCAACATTATATTCAAAGTGTTAAACCCACAGGTGCCATAAACACCTGGGAAATGCTATGCACTTAAGGTCAATCCAAGGAAGGATGGATCTAACTCTAGATCAAGGCACCATGCTCACATGTTAGAATAAACTAGTCAATATTTACTATGTACCGATAAATATAAGCTATGTAAATTCTCCAACATCAATGGGGTTATACAATGAAGACTTGCATTTGGACCTATTTTTAGTTTACCCAAAGTTCTTGCTTCAACTTGACATGTTCCACTCAATCACAACTAGTGCCAAACCAGTGTTAATCTACATGCTTTTATATCCCATTAATTTATTATTTTTCATTTCAATCTAATCCCCCCAATTCTATTCCTGGCTATAATTACTTACACCTACTCAGTGGACTTAAGCCATTATTTTATACTTTTCAATATTTAACTTGTGTAACTTGTGTACAGGCTGCTCATGGTACTCTTACACAGCATGGTTTTAACCCTTCCAGGGGTGTCATAGTACAGTGGACCCCTGGTATTCAGTGGCATCGGTATTCGATAAATCCGGTATTCGATGCATTATATCGCAAAAATTTTGCCTCAGTATCTGATCGAAAACCCGATATTCGATGCGATTCGTACGAGACGTGTCCACGTGTGGCCTGAACTGCCCCGTGTGTGCCAGTGTTTACAGTAGGGGCGTCACTGGTACACTAAGAGAAAACACTAAGTACCCGGGGCCCAAGACTGTTCAACAGCCTTCCACCAGCAATAAGGGGCATTATGGGAAGACCCCTGGTTGTCTTCAAGAGGGAGCTGGACAGATACCTAAAGACGGTGCCGGATCAGCCGGGCTGTGGTTCGTACGTTGGATTACGTGAGGCCAGCAGTAAGCCTCGTTGATCAGGCCCTGATCCACCGGGAGGCCTGGTCGTGGACCGGGCCGCGGGGACGTTGATCCCCGGAATGCACTCCAGGTAGACTCCAGGTAGTGTGCACGCATCTAAGGATACATTCGGTACATTCCATATTATCCATATTATCACTGTTTTTGGTGCTTGTTTCTGCAAAATAAGTCACCATGGGCCCCAAGAAAGCTTCTAGTGCCAACCCTGTGGTAAAAAGGGTTAGAATTAGTATGGAAATTAAGAAAGATTTTGAAGGGTTTGGGGCTAACCCTGAGAAGCCTATGCCGGTTGTGGAATCCATTGTGCCTACTTCAAAAATTAAGGAAATGTGTGCACAGTGGGTTGAACTGCAAACTTTTATGGATGAAAATCACCCTAACATGCTGGTGACTATTACACTGACAATGTTGTTAGCCACTTTAGGAAAGTCATAAAGGAACGAGAGGTATAGGCCTCTATGGACAGATATATTGTGCGACCAGAAGTCCAGTGACTCAAGCTGGTCCTAGTGGCATTAAAAGAAGAATGGAAGTAACCCCAGAAAAGGACTTGCTACCTCAAGTCCTAATGGAAGGGGATTCCCCTTCTAAACACTAACACCTCTCCCCTCCTCCCATCCCATAAATCATCACCAGATCTTCATTGAAGGTAAGTGTCAATTATTTTATTGTTATTGTTGTTATTGTAATTATTCTATTGCATTAAACTTAATATTTCATGTGGTAAAATTTTCTTTTTCATACTTTTGGGTGTCTTGCAGGGATTAATTTGATTTCCATTATTTCTTATGAGGAAAATTGATTCGCTTTTCGATATTTTCGGTATTTGATGAGCTCTCAGGAACGGATTAATATCGAATACCAGGGGTCCACTGTACTCTGGTTTTGAGCTCAGGGTCTGTGCTGTAGAACTACGTGTGAAAAGCTGTTCCACAAGGCACAGTACTCGCTCCCATCTTGTTCCTCATCCTCATATCCGACATAGACAAGGATGTCAGCCACAGCACCGTGTCTTCCTTTGCAGATGACACCCGAATCTGCATGACTGTCTTCCATTGCAGACACTGCAAGGCTCCAGGCAGACATCAACCGAATCTTTCAGTGGGCTGCAGAAAACAATATGAAGTTCAACGATGAGAAATTTCAATTACTCAGATATGGTAAACACGAGGAAATTAAATCTTCATCAGGGTACAAAACAAATTCTGGCCACAAAATAGAGCGAAACACCAACGTCAAAGACCTGGGAGTGATCATGTTGGTTGGAGGATCTCACCTTCAAGGACCATAACATTGTATCAATCGCATCTGCTAGAAAAATGACAGGATGGATAATGAGAACCTTCAAAACTAGGGAGGCCAAGCCCATGATGACACTCTTCAGGTCACTTGTTCTATCTAGGCTGGAATATTGCTGCATACTAACAGCACCTTTCAAGGCAGGTGAAATTGCTGACCTAGAAAATGTACAGAGAACCTTCACGGCGCGCATAACGGAGATAAAACACCTCAATTACTGGGAGCGCTTGAGGTTCCTGAACTGTATTCCTGGAATGCAGGCGGGAGAGATACATGATTATATACACCTGGAAAATCCTAGAGGGACTAGTACCGAACTTGTACACGAAAATCACTCACTACGAAAGCAAAAGACTTGGCAGACGATGCAACATCCCCCCAATGAAGAGCAGGGGTGTCACTAGCACGTTAAGAGACCATACAATAAGTGTCAGGGGCCCGAGACTGTTCAACTGCCTCCCAGCATACATAAGGGGGATTACCAACAGACTCCTGGCAGTCTTCAAGCTGGCACTGGACAAGCACCTAAAGTCGGTTCCTGACCAGCCGGGCTGTGGCTCGTACGTTGGTTTGCATGCAGCCAGCAGCAACAGCCTGGTTGATCAGGCTCTGATCCACCAGGAGGCCTGGTCGATCAGGCTCTGATCCACCAGGAGGCCTGGTCACAGACCGGGCCGCGGGGGCGTTGACCCCCGGAACTCTCTCTAGGTAAACTCCAGATAAGCTCAGCTCATTCAGATAAGCTGATTGGTAAATATTGGCCTAGATATGAGAGAATAGGTCCATGCAGTGAGTGTGCACCAAAGAAAAAGTCCCAACATGCAGTGCACAATGGGAAAAACAAAACTGTGACCTTGTGTGTGGTTTAAAATACTGACTTTGCAGTGTATTTTTGGTTGGTTTTTATTGTTTTATTCTCGGTTTCTTGGTTTCATTTGAGGGAAGATGTATTACAGAAAAAGATGATTTTGACTGGTTTTAGGACTGGAAGTAGCTTAAAATTGAGCTCAAATTAGTGGAAATATTCTATTCTTGTTAATATTGCAGAGGACACTAATCAAGTCACCTGTCTAATGTGTGTCCAACTTGCATGTCTAATACATGTTCACAAATACGACAACATTATACTATGTACTATTGTGCAGTAGTCCGAAAAACAATCCTTCATTTTTGTGAATAAAAGGCCTGGGGATATAAATAATGATCAGAGGATATGTCTTAGTGCCAGGATGTCCACATTGTTTATTCTGGACCCTATTTCTAAATTTGCATTTTTTAACTGTGAAACTGGCCAAATTGCCAATTTCTGACCACTATTTGGTACTTTAGTTAAATGATCGGTTTCTTGTGCTCAGTTGACAGAACGGAAGGCATGCTAGCGAAACAGCTAAGTTTGGGTTAAAATATAAATAACAAGAATCCTTAGGTTATTTAACTATATATCAATGCTTAGGTCTCATTTAGATTATGCTGCACAGTTCTGGTCACTGGATTACAGAATGGACATAAATGCCCTGGAAAACATACAAAGAAGGATGACAAAGCTGATCCCACATATCGGAAATCTTTCCTACGAGGATGTGTGCTAAAAATGTGGTAAAAATTTCTAACCAAGACAGAACTTGCAGCAATGGGTTCAAGTTGGAAAAATTTACATTTAGAAAGGATATAGGAAAGCACTGGTTTGATAATAAAGTTGTGCATGAGTGGAACAAACTCCAGAATAATGTTGTCGAAGCTACAATGTAGAGTAGTTTTAAAAATAGGTTAGACAAATTCATGAGTGGGCGAGAGTTAGACCTGACTGGCTTGGGCCAGTAGGTCTGCTGCAGTGTTGCTCCTCTCTTATGTACACGAGCTGAATTTCAAGGTACCTCCAGTTTCAAGAGAATTGAAGGCTAACCCTAAAGGATTCTTTCAGGTATACAGAAGTAAGATCAGGGACAAGATAGGCCCACTCAAAAGTTACTCAGGTCAGCTCACAGACAGTGATAAGGAAATGTATAGAATTTTTAACACGTACTTCCTCTGTTTTTACTCAGGAAGATACTAGCGATATTCCAGAAATAATAAATTATGTAGAACAGGATGATAAACTATGCACGATTAGGGTCACAAGTGACATGGTTCTTAGGTAAATTGATAAATTAAAACCTAACAAATCCCCAGGCCCTGATAAAATGAATGCATGGGTTCTAAAGGAATGTAAAGAGAAGCTTAGCAAACCTCTGGCTAATCTTTTCAATATATCACTACAGACTGGCATGGTGCCAGATAAGTGGAAAACAGCAAATGTGATACCTATTTTCAAAGCAGGTGACAGGTCCTTAGCTTCGAACTATAGACCGATAAGCCTAACCTCCATAGTGGGAAAATTTACGGAATCAGTAATTGACGAGGCAGTTTGTAGCCACCTCGAAAAGCACAAATTAATCAACGAATCTCAGCATGGTTTTACAATGGGGCGTTCCTGCCTTACAAATTTATTAACTTTTTTCACTAAGGTATTTTAGGAGGTAGATCATGGTAATGAATATGATATTGTGTATATGGACTTCAGTAAGGCTTTTGACAGGGTCCCACATCAGAGACTATTGAGGAAAATTAAGGGGCCAGTCCCTGAATTTGGCCAACTCTTTTATTTTTCAACCAATTTTTTTTATTTTTGGTGTACATTTAGAGGTTCATATGTAGAAGAATGTGACAA